ACGTGGCATCACATTTCTCAAACCTCCCCCCCCCTCGTCACACATCGTCACAAATGTCTGACCCCCCCCAGGTGCGTGACGTCATTTATGGACGGCCCCTAAGGTGTACCACGTGTGGTGTTATGCGTGAAGTGCAGTGTGCGCTCACAACTGGTATGTATGGAGATTAATAAAGAATGAGCAGGTGTTACCTTGCCTCCGAGTGAGTTCCACACGACACTTGTGTGTATGTTAAACTTGTTTTGCATTATACGTAGCCAACCGTGCTAATTGCTGCTGGCTACTATTGGTAGAATATAAACGCGTGTTTATATGTAGAGACAGAAAGATGTTATCCTTGTCTGCTTTAATGCTACTGCTTCTAGCATGTGCGTACTTTGGCGAGACCACACAGCCTCATCATCTTAAGGCGTTTAGTCCTATCAGGCTTCCTCCCAGTCTGCTAAGAGGGCAATCTTCCTCCTCTTCCAGCTCTTCCCCTCCAGATGTGTCACAGTCTACGCCTGTCGTCATAAACAGTGTGGCCTCTCCCAGGTGTTCTTCTCGCTGGCTACACAATGATCTGGTTTGGTGCAAAAATGGTTTAGTACAACACTTACACAGCCCCGTGTTCCCAGTGTCCCTGTATCCCTGTCCCATTCCTCCTGTGTATCAGTGCCTCCGTGCCTCCATGTCCCCATGACTTCGTTCGTCTGTGTCTCTGTGTCCCTGTATATATTTAATTCTAATTTTCCTTCAATTAAATTCCAATTGTGCTACGCCAGTTAAGTCGTGAGATGAATACATTTCTATTTGGGACGCCTCCCAGATAGCAAACCATAACCTTGTGTCAGAGAAGTGCTCCAGAAGATGATATCGCAGAACTACCTGAAGTCACTGCAACAGCCCTCTATTGTCCACACTCGGAGTATACACATATCCCTGCAAAGGGCATTAGTTGCATGTCAATCAAAACGAAACGTTTAAGCTCAGAGCTGTAATCTTGCCAAACTAACAAAAAAAAGCGCCCAACTTAACACGATGTGTTTTGTGTGTGTGTGTGCAGTCATTATTGCCACGGCTGAGACCATCATAGCGGTACACGTGAGAACATCGTTTAATCACAGATGCTTGCCCAGATTCAAACCCAGGTTCTCAGCGGCGTTGGCTCAGTGCTCAGACCGTGGCGTTAGATTTTAGATCGTGAGTCACCCGGCCACCAAATACAAACATATCACAGTGGCTCTTACAGGAAACCAAACATTTTGATAATTTAGGCTCAGCAGCCTGGGAGCCAGATGACTAATTTCAGAGGAAGGAGGGGAACACGCGGCCTCATTCTCGAATGGTATCTTCTGTACTGCATCTAAAATCCCCTTTGTGGGTGATGGGAGTCACCCACTGTGGCAAGGGGTTTTTTCTCTCCAGAGAAAGTTTTTTTTTATTGAGTTTGCCTCACTTCTGTGCACGCCCTTGCCATTATCGTTACTTAAAGATACAACAGTAAAGAGTTACACTCTTTGGGTCTTTCGGTAAAGTCACGTAGATAGAAAAATAATAGATCACGACGTTTCGATCACACCGAGTATGAATTCCTGCAGTCACGAAAGCTTTAAATCAAGAGTAAAGAGTTCGTTTTATTCATCAATAAGTGTACATTCTGCTGCATAAATGTTGCCGTAAGTTTATTAAATAATACTTTTGAGTACGGTACATGTATAATAAAATGTAATTGACTCAATTTGGTAAATTTTCAACTCTTGAGCGATTAAATCAGTATCAATTTGACCATCACACGATGAATCTTACTATCGTACGCAGAGCGAGTGTCGAGCATCGGTCGCTTGAAGGGATCTCAGAGGTAGCTCTTTGGCATCTACTTCCGCGGGCCATTCTTTAACACAAAGGGTCGCATTGCTCACCGAGAGACCCGAATGGATACGTTATCTCACGAGATGGTGCCTACAGTGCAATCAGGGCAACTCTGGGAGGGAGGGGGGGAATGACAAAAAAACATTTCAGAGAAAAAAGTTATGTTCATGTAATTTACGGGTGTAGAGCGGTGGTATAGACAGCGTTTGGCGCACTGGACCATGAACCCGGGGCCCGTGAGTTCGATTCGCAGACGCGGCTAAAATCGATCACCAAATAATCACCACACTGGCCAGTGTGGTGATGAAGCATCTTTTTCAAACAACCGCGATAATTGATAGTACACGGGGGGGGGGGGGGGGGGGGGGGGGGGGGGGGGGGGGGGGGGGGGGGTCTATATCCAGCAGTGGTTTGACAAAGGGACGTAATCTGTTATTATTAAAGAGCCGGTGAAACCGTGTTAGTGAATGGGTGCCTGACACCTGGGCCGTCCTATTGTCCCTGGGCCTCAACACAAAAGAGGGCCCAACCGTGGCCCTGTGGATGGTGGATTAAGGGATTAAGGGGCGCCCCACGTGACAATCTGCCCCGGGCCTCCACACACCCCGGGATGGCCCTGCCCGACACTCATGGATAACGCCAATCCACAGACCCGTGGTTGAACCTAGGTGTCGCGCACTGCGGAGTTGGGGAATCAGGGTCGCCCCCCTTCATGCTACCCTGGCTGGCTGGGTGGGCCACACCACCAATCCGATTGGCCGGAGATGATGTCAACGCTCAGGGTAAATGACCAATCACGTTGGATCCGTCTCTCTCCTCGCCCTCATGCTTTGTTTCCCACGAGGTCCCGCCCACCGAGAGAACTTGTAAACTCAGCTTGTGGGGTTTTTATTTTACGTCTCTAAAGCAACACTGAACAGAGCCCCCCCCACCCAACACTTCAAACAATTTTGAGATTTGTGGCAGGGGAGAATGGAAGAAAGAGAGGCGTTGTTGGTGGGTTTTTTCCCCTCCCTCTCATCTGAACCCGTGGACCAGTGTCTTGTCAAACATGAACGCAACGACTTGTGTAAGTGCTGCGCCTTTAAAGTGTCTATGCAAGTATTGTGTGAAACTGCCATAAATATTTAGCACACCGCGTGTTTTCGGAGCAAAGTGGCGTCTTTGTTTTGTCTCAGATCTCAATAACGCCACTTAAACCAAAGGGAGGAACGCACCATCGAGTCTGGCCACCGTGGAGATGGAGCGACGGGATCAACTTTGTACGCAGGCGTGAGATGGATCGTGAGCGATTGCGATGACATGGGAAGGCCTTCGTAGATATTGGCTAATTATGGTCATGAATTAAGCCACACTTTTTAATTTTAAGCTTTCGTGACTGCAGGGATTCATATTCTTGGTTCTTTTGGTAAAGTCACATAGAATGGAAATAATATACTAGAAATAAAACATAATAAAATTCTCACGACGTTTCGGCCACAATACAAGTAGCCTTCTTCAGGACTGTCCAGAAGACAGCGCTTGAGATGTCTTCTGGACAGTCCTGTCTCTTCACCTGAAGAAGGCTACTTGTGTTGTGGCCGAAAAATCGTGAACATTTTATTTTATTATGTTTTATTTGTATTATTTTATTTCCATTCTACGTGACTATCGAAATAACCAAGAAGATGAAGCCACACTTTGTTCAGCTGTCTACTGTACTAGCTTATTTATTTTGAGTCCGTTTAAATTTCAATAGAGACGGGCAATGTACGTGTACATTGTCTATTAGGGCCTCACTACATGGTGATTATTTAATAATATATCATCACGTGCAGCTGGGTGAAGGTCGGAAGCACAGATGCGGGAGCATGGAAGTACAATACAACGGCTTTTGCGGCACTCCCCATCTGCCACCCACGACATAGCCCCGACAGCCTATAACAGCTGCTTAGCTTCGGAGATGTGACGAGATCGACCGTATTCTGGGTTATTTGGTCATACGCCACGTGCAGCGTGTTCACTTAAAGCGTTGCCATCCCTCTTCTGCAGTTGTAGCGTCGCTCGCACACGTCGACTGTAAGATAACGCTTTTGTTAATATGTTCGGGCAATGTCACCGCTATCACTCGGATACAGCTGGGGGAAATGGTGGCGTTGTGCAACCCTGAACTTTATTCCTAATTGCACCGGGGGGTGGGGGCTTAGGAAATCATCTGCACGTGAGGGATTTATAGCTGCGGTGAAAAGATCAAAGTCCGCTATAGCTGGTTAATGGAAAGGACCTCTAAATGAGTCGCAAAGATCCGAATCTTGAACAAAACTCACCGATAAGGAACATGGGTGGTGCCACTCGGCATCAGCAAACAAAGCAACAGTTTAGTGCCCCAGACAGCTCAAGAGGGCCTGCGTTTATTTATTTATTTTGTATAAATATCTGGGCGAAGCAAAAAATATAAGGTCGTCAGTATCTAGTTTTTCTCATCTAACTCCATGTTTATATCTTGTATAATTTCATCACGTCTGTGCCATTTGTATTTCAATTCTCAACTCACTTACCGTCTCTATCTCTTGTCGACATTTCTCTCGTCCCACGACATCTCTGTCTCTTTGTCTCTCTATCTTTTATGTCATCTCACGAGGTTATAAATCTGAAGGGGAAGGACCCCCCCAACTCCCAGAAATTGTACAGTTATCTGCTTAAGGTCCCCGAAGGATCCGCACCACCACTGGATCAATATATAATCGTTGTTTTTTCAGGAGAGTCCTGCATCACATTTGTTTGGACAGTTCCATAATTTCAGTTTGATGACTTGTTGAACTTAATGACGAAAGCTACAACATCAATGGAAATGTCCAAAACATTCCTTTGCCTTTTAAGAAGAAAAACCCCATCACGCAAAAAAATACAAAGTCACAACAAGCCACAATCGACAGATAGCAAGCGCGCAGCATGAGACGAACACACCTGTGTGATTGTCTGGGTTACGAAAGGCCAGCCGTTGCTAGATGGCAGCAAAGAGTGAGGGTGTGCGACACAGACAGAGAGAGGGGAGGGAGGGAACAAGAGAAGAGGGGTTTCAAGCCAGGAAGGCATTGGTGTAAAAGAAGGGGAGGAGGAGGGGGATGGTGAAACAGAGTGGGGTGGGGGGTTTACTGTGCTACGTATCATCCCGCATGCCCTGCCTCTCGTGCCAGACACTACGCACAAATGCTCCACCTCCTCTCTTCTCTCCCTCCCTCTATTCATCTTACACCCCCCCCTCCCGCCATACATCCCTCCCTCCTTCCAACCCTCCCATCACCCAAGCCACTCTCTTCCCCCCACTCAAGCCCCTGTGTGGCTGAGCAAGTTGGAGTGCGCGCTTGCCTTGCTGGCGTCCGAGATGTAACGAAACCGGAGCGAATTCGTAACGCGACGCACACGTGCTCAGCGACGCTGCCGCATCCTCCGTACGCGACGCGGACCCACGCACGGATCTATAAATAGGGAAGCACAGTGAAACGACCAACGCAACAAAGAGTGCCAACAGAAAACAAAGGGGGGGTGGAGGTGGGAGGAACAAGAAGCCACGAGTTTGTACGGAAACAACAGAAACACCCCGTGGACAACAAAAGGTGGACGGACGGCGTGCGTGGAGGAGAGGAGAGGAAGAGAGAGAGAGCCGGGGCTGAGATATCAACGAACTTGAAGATTCGCACAGATCCCGTGGATAAGTGGTGGCATAAACACCAGGTTTACGCCATAGGCACAGCTCTAATTTGCTGTTTGTTGAGCCACAGGCTGATCGAGGGGAAACGAGGCGGATTTGGTGGTGGTGGTGTGGTGGGTTTCGCCGAAGCGAAACGTGCTATGGAAGAAGCGAAAGCTGCTGAAACCGCAGCAGCGGCGACTTGACGTCCGCATGTGTACAGCTCGCATGCCGTCGGGCACCTAAAGTGGGCTTGGGGGGGGTGGTTGGTCCGTTTGGAGGAACGTCGGAGGCTCACTTGTTGGAACGTTGGTTGGGACCGACTGGGTTGTTGAGTCAAACGACGTTGTTGAGGAAGATCGCTCCCCGTAGTTGGGGTTGGAGTGTGTGGGAGCGGGGGGGGGGTGCAGGAGACTCGCTTGTTGGAACCGCCACAAGTTGGAAGCGCGGTTCGGAACGTTGCTTTGAGCCTCGCTTGTTGGATAGTGTTGCCGTGCTGGGAACGCGTTGGTTGGAGTAAACGGACGCGGAGTTTGTTGGACCACGTTCGACAAATGACAAATTCGCAACGTTCGTTTGAACGAAGTTGGCAATTCGGTTGTGTTGGCAAGCCAGTGGATAGATGATAAATTTGAAGCTCTGCTTGGCACGTTCGCTTTGAGCCTGAATGTTGGGATCGTTCGCCGACGCTCGTTTATTGGAACTGAGTTGGTCGTAAGCTCGGCTTGTAACGTGATGTTGCTCATTTGTTGGAACCTTTGACCGGACGCTGACTTATTGTTACGAAGTTATAAGGCTCGGCTTGGAACGCTACGATGCAACGTTATTGGAGAGTTCGCTAAAGGAAGGGGCTCGCTGATTTGGAACTGCTCAAAGAAGAGGAAGCAAACTCAATATTCAGACAACGGATAATCATTGAGTTCTGAGCGTCTCGGAAGGCACGGGGAGATGAAAGTGATCGTGTACTTCAAGGATACCAGTGTTCTGGTGCCATGTGGGGATGGCCACATCCTGGTCAAAGATCTCATCCGACAGGCCGTGACCAGGTACAAGAAGGCATTCAACAAGGTGAGTCTCTTAAATTGAATGGGTTTTTTTGCTTGTTACATCAGACCATAAGGTAAATGCTGGAATGACAATTGTAATCGTGTAATTCGCAATGGATGTGTAATCTCAACGTCAATTGTAATTTTAACTAACGATGCTGATGTCATTGTGTTTGACCCCAGAGTCTGCTTTACATAATCAGGGATTTTTACACTCGCCAGAAAAGGTTGAAAACGTTGGTGCGACTTGTAAATATATGCGGTGGCGAGATGTTAACTACATCGCCTGATATACAGAAACTCATGGGTTCCAATCCCAACCCTGACGCCTGGTGTATATTTGGAATTTGCATTGTCTCCCCGTGGTTGTGCGGATTTTTCTCCGGGTCCTCCAGGGTTTTGTATTCCATGCGTGTGCATGGTTTTTCCCCCCACAACTGGTTTAAAAGTTGCCTCCCGCATGCTCAAACTGGCTGAATTTGGGATGATGTTCGTCTCTGCCCGTGGCTCCTATAACGGTGGGAAATTCCACATTTCGATGACAAGTCTCGTTCGTACGAGAAGCATTATATTGTTCTAAATTATGTAAAAACTATTCTTCTTATCGACCCCCGGTGAATAATGGGCTGAAAATACAGTGATGTCATCGATTAAGGAAGTGTTTCCGGGCCGTCGCCTATTCGAGGTGGCCCAAGTTGCCCTGCGTGTGTCAACGTGGTTGTTACATTGTGTCATTGTATATGGTAATGGCATTACTCTTGTGCTGTGTACAACTATATATCACGTAACTGGAACACATTTCCATTGTGGTGTGTATTTTTTTTCGAACTTGTTGGGGAAGGGTAAAGATTACCTTCCCCTTTAATAACGAACCAACATGCAGAATTTAAAACTTTTTTTATTTGAATGTATGTTGAACTTATTTCGCACCGCACACAGCCAACCGTGCTAATCGGAGGTAATGTTAGGTGACCGAACAATGTATATGATAGACTGCCTATGACCAGATCGCCCGGAATGCTGAGTTGAGCCTGGATGGGTGGCTTCCATGCAGCTTGCACAGTTATCGGCTGCTGAGTCACGTGGTGGGCAGCAGTGTCCAAATGCAGTAAAAGCCATCATTGTACTGCACTCGAATGCTACCCGGCTTCACCAAGCACGCACTGACCGTCGTGAAGTATGGTCAAACAGACCCCCGTGACCGACACACCCAGCAGTGGATTGACAAAAGGGTGGTTAACGCACATGGACACACGTAGACTGCTCGGTTATACTGTGCCCCTTAAATAGGACTTGCCATAAAATACTGGCAATGCAAATATGCACAGTGAGTGTTGTGTGTGTGCATTTGCAACTGTAAGAACAAATATTCAAGTCTGACAAAAGGGAAGTGCCCATACTTCGAATAAGCCAAACGTTAATTGCATTGTCATTCAAATCATAACAAGTTTGCATTAATAATATAGCAATGTATGCATCATCAGCCAAGTCTCTCCAATGCGTTGTCAGCCTACATGGTCCTGAGATTGTAAAATAATACACCCACCTACACACAAGCCGATCTCATTGCTCCTTCTCCACTGTGGAAAATAATGATATTTGCATTTATATGGCATTTTCTTAAATACCTCGGCAACGCCAAGTGCCTTTCATCTCATCTCAAACATTTGAAGGGCACCCCCAGTAGCTGCTGTCCCTTTGCGGTGGCACAAGGTGCAAGATCAGCACTGGCCTGCAATGAGGCATTCTGTCGGCAGAGGGGGGGGGGGGGGGCAAAGGTTATTGCTGTTTGTCATCTAAAATTGAGAAATTTGCAGGTAATATACTGAAAAATGTTTGTTCATTTGCGCTGGAACAAAGACGGCCACTGCATCGCGTGCTTTCAGATGTGCTTTCTGCGGCCCACTGGAACGCTCTTCCTTCGGATATTAGGAAGCAACTGGAGCTTTGCGTTTTAAAATAATCTGTATTTAAAAACTAATTTCTTTAGAACTGCTTTTTGTGTTTAGTTTGTTGTCCTTCCCCCGCACGTCCGATCAGCGCAGTTGGCTACGTACGGTGCGAAAGAAGTTCAACACACTCGTTTCGAACGAAGTCTATTCATTTGCAACGTCCGCTATGAAGAGCACGGCGCCTTTCTCTGGTTAATGCACCCAAAAGTTACAGCTCGGGCGGCTTGCCAGACACACACCACTCAGAAGCTCTTCTCATCCCCCCGGCCTTCTCACGATCACGTATCCTGCCGAAGCCCCAGTTACTTTTCTCAAGTCAAAATTACGTCTTCACCATGTGCCACGCGTGTTCTTTAATCCTCATTCTGTCTCGGGTCTAAATCGCAGGCATGCGGCTGGCAATCTTCCCATGCTTCGTTGCGCGCTTTTCGAACTTTTATCCCATGTGCTCCATCAGTTGCGTGTTTCTGCGCCATATGTTGCAGCAGGTAATGCACATTTAAAACAAAAAAATATTGTTTTAGAAAAATGCTGCATTTATTTTATTGGCTGTGCACTACATATGATTAGTACCGAATATACATTTACTGTCGAGTTCAACTACATACCCATTTATCATTCTATCCTGCACAAATATGTTGTATTATTATTCATGACCTTTTACGAGGCTTTCTTTATAGACGATTAATTCTGATCCAAAATCCTTAGCAATATTCATTTTCAAGTTCTCTGCCCAATGGGGTTGGGTCCCATGGCTCAAGTTCCCCCACCAACCTCTTTAATTCTCACTCCAGACGAGGTCTCATAAAGTCACAGCTTGGGGGAAATTATTTGCTGACACTGCAGCTGTCAGTGGTGCATGAGTAACAGACAAAAACAAATTCAACACATTCGTCAATAATACTGTGGCCTTAAAATAAAATAAAAATTAATTGTTGGCGATGTTTTGGGTAATGATCTTTCCTAGCACATTTTTAAACATTTGATTAAGGTTTTTAATTGGCTTGGTAGTTGCTATAAATAGAATTGTGTCCTTATATATAATTAAAATACAGCGTAGTGGGGTGCAATTAGCATGAATGACGCTATACAAAATAATTGTCATCACGTATATCCAGGTGTCTTGTGAGACCCCCAATTAATTGACACCGAACATTTGTTTCAGTATCCCTGCTTATTCATTTGTTTTCACACCACCCCCCCCCCCCCCCCCCCCCCCATTAGTATACACATTTTGTATTAAGTTGTAGAGAATTAAATTTGCTTCATGGAACATCTGGAGACCACCCTGTAGATGGACCAGAGAGGTAGAGGTGGCCCTCTTAGGTGCTACGAAAAATGGGCCATTGCCCAAAACGTGAAGGGTGGTTGAGGTTGTTCCCCCTTGCCATCAACCCCTCGCTCATCCTCGGCAGCATTGTCAGGCGATGCCATCACCGTTTTCAATACGGTAATGCGTGTATCAGTACTGTACTATTCTCTGCATTGATCCAACCAAGGCTTAACATCAGTGGCAACTGGAATGCGAATTTATCCTGAGTCTCCCCCACCCCCAGGTCAACTCTGGCCACCTCGTGCCTTGTGTAAACATTAGCACTGGAGGAGACAAGTAGCCAGGCCAGGAGCTGGCCACACCACCCCCACCGTGTACCGTGTCAGCCTTAACCGGTGCTTACTAACCAGACTTGGGGTCATTTATAAGAACACTTGCGGCAGAATTGTTAGTTGAAATTGCAATAATTACGTTGTTATTGCAATTCATTACGAATTACAAAATTACAACTGTAATTGATCCCAGGTTTATTGCTATTAGGTTCCACGGGGTGTCCATGTATGTTTTAAAAGTCATAGCCGTTGCTCTAGTACTCTATTATATGTTAAAGTTCCTACCCATAACTCGCCATTGCGAGGGTAATGCGGCGAGTGCTGCTGTGTAAAGCAAGGTCTGTGCCCTTGTAAAATCACAAGTACAAAGTGCTTTGTGTTATCAGCAGTCAACAGACTAGAGTAGGAGACCTGATAACTGTATCATAGTCTGGTGTTACACATACATACACACTACGAGACAGGTGTAACAATAATGATAATTTACTACGTCCACTTCTGGATGAAGGCCCCACCCCGTATGCCGTGTCAGTTATAGGGTGTTGTTTGGCCATACTTCACCATGCTGGTCGGTACGGGTTGGTGACGTGACGGGGGGCTAGGACCGCTTCAGATATCAGTTGCCACTGATTTCAGCTGTGGCCTGGAATCGAAGTCTGCTCATCGGGCTCACAGCGCAGTGGCAAAACGTTGACTACCTCGCCTGGTATGGAGGAGGCCGTGGCTTCGATCCAGAGACCCTTGACGCCTGCTGCTGTGTATTTGGAGTCTGCGTGTCTCTCTCCCGGTGTTCGCGTGGATTTTCTCCGGGTCCTCTGGTTTTTCCCTTCACATTTAGAATCAACGTGCATTTAGTTTTTGGCTGCTATACATTTCCAGATGACACGCCACTTCGTTGAGCTATCACTTGTCGCCAGGTAGTTCAGTGGGCCTTACCTGGTAAAATAAAAAGTTTGGTTTAGTTTTAGCGTGGTGCACAAATTACTTAATAGCAGTACTGTGATGGGAAATGCACGATTGGTTAACGTTTGTAGGCACTAGCTTGCCAATTATAGATAACATGTTTATATTTACACTGTGTACAAGCTACTATAGTGTGCATTTAGAAATCTCCATATCAACCTTGCACAGTACAATAATGTATTCAGACACTTGTGCAATATCCATTCTCTATGCCAAACACTCGGTTTTGGAACTCACCAGATATCCTAAAGCAGGACCCTGTCGAAAAGAGTCTTGGGACTCCAAGTGAGGCCTTTCCTGGATGAATGAAAGGGCATTATTTGTTATTCCAGTGTTTAAGAAGTATTAAACTCAAGTCTGTGTTAGTTTCTGGACGTCTGTGCAAAATAAAGCTTTATAGCTCATCGGATTCCTCCAGCATAAATACAGATCCTGATTCTTCCTCCTGGACGAAAGTAGTGAACGGGGCTACTGTGTAGTTTTAAGCCTAAAAATAAACAAA